TCCTAACGTCAATTAGACGTAACTCAAAGACGTGATGATACGTCAAAAAGCCATAATTGACGTGTGACGTAACACCCAACATGTGCCATAACACCCGACGTGTGACGTAACACCTGACGTGTGCCGTAACACCGACGTGTGCCGTTCTACATGACGTTTTAACTAAATTCTAAGAAAAAAAAAAAAAAAAAAAAACTCCCCGAGTTCAAAATTTCTTAAGTATATTTGATCCATAAGCTATCATAAATCATAAATATATATACCATAAAGTGTGTGAAAAAACTTAAAAAAAAAAAGCCTCTTTCCTATTTTCTCCTATGCAACGATCTTTCTCAAAAAAAAAAGAACTTCGTGTTGAATTTTAATTTTTCGTCCTTGTTAATCGTCTCACATTAAATTTAATTAATACATATCATCACTAATTATAATCCAAGATGAAATTCTTAAAATTATGCCAAATTGAAGGGCCATGAACCAATAAAAAGTTATAATTAATATTTAGTGCGTTTTTATATTTTCTTGTTAAGACTTATTGACCCACTAAACATGTTGAATAAGCATTCAAACTAAAATTTAATAATGTTAACAGTCTGTTGAAATTACAAACTTAATCAAATCGGTTGAAAATTATTCAGCCAAATTTTATTAGATGTTTCAAAATTATGAATCGAAGTTAATCAATTATTATAGATGTAAGTTTTTTACATAATTTTCAAAGTAATCAAAAAAAGCATTTTTATTAATTATTAACTTTACTGAAATTTGCTAAAAAATATTTAATTCAAAATTATTTATTTGAATTATGTTATACAGTAGTAGCTCACAGGTTTTCAAATGGTTTAATTTTCAACAATTTAGTCAGGTTTGCAAGCGATCTTTCATATTACTAATAATTTAAGACCAAATTCATTAGAAATATTAAAACCCAAAATATCATAGAAATAACAAAGATGATACGTACCATTATATTAATCGTCTAATTCATTTAGGATGGTATCAACAAGACTTTCCGGATCAAAATCCATATCAACGCTGCTTTCAACAGTATTATCGCTTGTATCACTTGAGGCATTAGTTGAAGCTTCACATGGTATAAAATCATTTTCTTGAAAGATAGGATCTTTTAAATCCACGGTTTCTTCCAAAATCAAATCAGCACGAGTTAACAGATCATCGTATGTATTATTATTTTCATTTTCATCTTCCTCAGCTTTTTCATCAATAAAATTATTGATCGATGCAAGATTTACCATTTCGCACAATTCATATTCAGTCAATTCAGCATCCAAACAGCTAAGTTCATTCCTAATATTTGTCATGTAATATAACCTAACTTTTGCCATTTCCTCAAGCTTTTGAACATCAAGACGTACCCGTTTATCACCAATAAACCACTTAAGAGTCGAAAAGCTTCTTTCACAATTGGCCTGAGATTAGTGATACAAATTGAAGTTAAAAAATCGATTAGTTGAACAAGTTGACAACTAATCGATTCCATTTTTTAAACCAACTTAATCGATTAGTCGATTAATTGATGAATCGATTAATCGATTTGTTATGACAAATTGATTAATCAGTTTGTCAACTAATTGACTAATCGATTAGTTGACAATCAATTAATCGATTCGTCAACTAATCGACTAATTGATTAGTTAATATATCAACTAAATCAAACGTTTAGATAGTAGCTGATCTTTTATAAATTGAGTTCTCAAGCAATTGAAAAAATTTTGGCAATTTGTAACACTACCTGAGATGGTGTAATGCTAAAGAGTTTCTGCGCAAGTTCAGAAAGATGGCGTGGTTTGCTTTTTATAAATCCCCACCATAACATAGGGGTATCAAGCCCATGAACATAAGATAGATCAAATGGTTTTTTTCTAGTATCATAATAATGAAACTGGGATATTAGTTCCTTGCATTCTTGCTCAGTATGCGAATAACTTTTCCATATGGTTGAAGCAGTTATAGCAGCATTACGGAATGCCTCATTCTTAAGCCCTTTTCCTAATTAAAAAAAAACTGATCAAATTTGGTAACGTAATAATTAGCTAAATATATCAAAAAAATTATTTTATACCACGATAGAATGGATGAAGGTAGTAACATAATAGATAACACGGGTGTTGAAATTCTACATAACGTCGGTTGAACAGTTGAATCATAACAGGTTTAAATGGAATTGAATCGGGAATATGATAGATGGCAATTGCCAACTTAATCATGTATATAAAACAGTCTGCTAAAGACGCAGAGCCACCCTCTAAGGCATTTATACAAATTTTTATTGGTTTCCAGATTGAACGAACTTGTCGGCAAGTGATAAAAAAGCCATCACCGTGTAACAAATTAAAAATTTCTATATCTGTAAATGACCCAGGATGTTCAAGCAACATATCTGAAAAGAAAATTAAGATCCTAACACCAAATCTATAACTACACACTAACATTGCAACACAATCAGTATTAAACTCTAACTTTACACCTTATATTAGTGGCTTCCCCACCACATACTCAATCCACCAAATACCCAAAATCATACAAAAAGCAAAAGCTACTATCCAGTGGAACGAACAAAACCGAATCAAATCTATCATACAAAAACTCCCAAACATTAACTGGAAACTAACATTCGACTACCTAAACTTC